GCCTCTGCAGGACCCCAGGCTGGCATCCCTCCCACCCCACCCTTCTGTCCCCTTATTGCAGTGGCCATGCCAGTGGTGACTGTGGCTATTGCTCGGCTCTAGGAAAGGCAAGGCAGAGCCCTCCAAAACCCACAGCACCCACTGGCAGGGCAGGGGGATGCAGCTGTCAGGCTTGCATACAAGCCAGATGACAGCATCCCTCCCTACAGAGCCACTGTGATCCCCAGGGAACAGGCAGGGTCAAAGAACCTTCAGAGCTATTTGTCCAGGCACCCTCATCTCGCCAGGAAAAAGACACACCAGGCTGCTCTCAGCGGGATCAGGGATGCCTGCAGGGGCACCCACGGGCAGGGTGAGTGCCACGGCTGACCTCGGCTGGGAGCAGGCAGGGGGAGGGCAGGGACACGCACCCAGCGAGGAGGAGGAGGGTGGTTTGCCTAGCAGCGTTGGTGCTGATGCTGGAGGGGACTGACAGACAGGCCAGGGATGATCAGGCAGACCATGCAGGCCCTCTTGTGCCTCATTAAACCCGCTGCTCGGGCACACATCTGCCAAATGCCCACCTGAGGCTGAGGGCACACGGCACTCAGGGCCACCCCCAAGCGTCTGGGCTGGTGACACCCTGCTCTGCCAGCAGGGCTGGGGCTGCTCAGGTTTCCCTGGGCACACCCTGCCAGCCTGCACTTGTGCCAGCCCTGCTGCCTCCCCTCTCCAGGCCCCCAGCCCACTTTGCTCAGGCCTGTGACTTTGCTGCCACTGTCCCAGGCCATGAGCACCAGAGAAGGGCCCGCAAACTCTTCCCAAACGAGGGGTGCACTTGAAGGCAGAGCTCCTGCTGTGCTCACTGGCTGCTGGGACAGGCATGGCTGTCCCTGTAGCATATCCCCATCAGTTGTCTCTCTATCCCCATCACCACTGTGGGCACTCGCAGGAACTTCACACACCAAAACCACAAAGGCAAAGGACTGTGGCTTTGTCACAGCCCCTGCAAGCAGCTGGGTGTCCCCTCAGCTTTCATCGTGCCTGGTCCAGCACTCAAGTCCCAGCACAGGCATCCAGTGTGGCACAGCTCCTTCTGCACAGCCGGATACCCCAGGCAGATCAGGGCTGCAGCAGGTACTTCTCTTCATTCCTTGACTCATCCACATCAGAAGCCGGGGTCTTCTTGGGACATGAGGGGGTCCTGCAGGCTTTGCAGAGGATGAGGAAGAGGATGAGGATGAGCAGCGCAATGACACAGTTAAAAGAAATTGCCACGATGGCTCCGGTGGAGAGAGCAGGCGCCATGGCCGCCGTCCCGCAGGGATCAGCAGCGCCCACAGCCCGGTCTCACGCTCGGGATGCCAGGGCAGTGATGGAGCGTGCAGCCTCCACTGCTGGCACTGGCAGGGGACAAAGGGGACGGCCGTGGTGCTGGCGGTGGGACGGGGATGGACAGTGTCACCCCGTCACTTCGGGCACTCACACCTGTGTCCCGGGCTGCGCCACACCACAGGGAAGCTTTCTCTCGGCTTCCCCTCCTCCGGCAGGGCAGTGAGGACACAGGGATCACTGTTCTGCCTCCAGCACCTGGAAGAGAGAAAGTCGCAGTCACCGTGGCATGAAGGGGCAGGCTCTGTGACCCCCTCGGGCTCTGGCGGTGCCAGGGGACAGCTGCCCCAGGGCCCCCTCGGGGCTCCGCTGGAGTTCGAGACCTGCAGCGGCTCCCAGGTCTGATGCTCTTTGGGGGACATTTCCAGCCCTGGCTCTGCCCCTTATCCCCCGCACGGGCCACCAAGCTGGAGGTGTCCCCAGTGGGAGACCCTTCGCCTCATCCCGGCCCAGACGCTCCTTCCCGTGCACTCCCGGGTGACTCCGGACAGCCCTGGCCCCGCTCCGATCCCCTCTCCATCCTCCAACTCCTTTTCCTGCCGGCGGGACGCCGCTGCCAGGTCCCGCATCCAGAACGGGCCGGGTGGCAGCAGGTCGGGGGCCAGGGCAGCCCCGTTGTGCTCTTTACCGGGGTCGGGCAGAGCCCCGGCTGCGCCTCTGAACCCCGGGGCCTCTGACCCCCGCCCGCCGCGGAGCGGGACAACCACGGAGCCCCCGGAACCGGACAGCAACAGGTCCCACCAACTCCGCCCTCCCGCCGCGGAGCCCCGGCATTACCCACCTGCCTCCGCTTCTCCCCCGGGGTCGGACCCCGGTGCAGGCGGGAGGGCGGGCGGCGCTGCCGGGGCGGGGGTCCCGCTGGGAGCGGGCTGGGGCGCGGGGTGCCGGCGCGGAGCGGCCCCGGCACGGCCCCGGCAGCGCTCGGAGCCGGCGCGGTCCCGCCGCGGCCGCCCGTGGGTGCCGCAGCCCCGCGCGCCGCCCGCGCCCTCCCGCCGGCACCGGTGGGCGGGCCCTGCTGCCTCCCCGCCCCTGCCCCGCCATTGGTCAGCCCCTCCGCCCACCGCCCATCATTGGCCGAACGCCTCCCTCGGGACACGCCCCCTCGCCCGGCTCCCACGTGAGCGGCGGGGGGAGAACGCCGGCTAGCGCGCGCTCTGCCGGCCCGGCCCGGGACCCGTCCCGGTATTGCCCCGATACTGCCAGCTGTACAACCCGGTACTGCCCCGGTACTGCCAACGATACTGCCCTGGTACTGCCCCGGTACTTCCCCCGCTACTGCCCTGGCACTGACAGCGGTACAGCCCCGGTACTGCCAGAGGTACAACCCAGTACTGCCCCGGTACTGCCAACGATACTGCCCTGGTACTGCCCCGGTACTTCCCCCGCTACTGCCCTGGCACTGACAGCGGTACAGCCCCGGTACTGCCAGAGGTACTGCCCGGTCCTGCCCCCACTACTGCCCTGGTACTGCCGGCGGTACTGCCCCGGTACTGCGGTACTGCCAACACTACTGCCCCAGTAGTGCCCTGGTACTGCGAGCACAACTGCCCCTGGTCGTGGCCCCGGTACTGTCCCCGCTAGTGCCACCGGTGCTGCCCGGACTGGCCCCGGTGCTGCCCTCCCGCCGCTGCTGGTGCAGCCCTGCCCGCGTCCCGTTGCACTGCCCTCATGTGCTGCCTGCCTGCCCTGTCCTTCGTGCCCGGGGCCACCGGCTGGCTCTCCGTGCTGCTGCCTGCCCCTGCACACACACACAGACACAGACACAGACACACACACACAAACACAGGCACACAAACAGAGACACACACACACACACACGTGCACCTGGTCCCACACACATCGGGGCTTCGGGAAGCTGAGGATGGACTTGCCAGGGCAGGGCAGGGCTGGGCTCCTTCCCAGGTCACAAGGGCTACAGGCAGGCAGGGATTGGCTTGGGCCCCATGATAGCCCAGGGAGAGGAGGGAACAGGACATTAAGGGAAAATCAGTATCTGGAATATAAGCAAGATGACTGGCATAGCCGGCTTCCCCCTGTCCTGTCGGTGGGGAAACTGAGGTACAGGGCAGCCTGACCCCATGCACAGCTGCCAGCTTCCACACAGGCATTGGAGCCAGAGAAGCCCTCGTGTGGGGCTTCACCCCAAAGAGGGGCACCCCTCCTGAAGGGCACAGGTGTGGCACCCAAAGGAGATGGCTGATACACAGGAGGAGAGGCTGGAGGGGCCCTCGGCGAGCTTCCTGGAGACCCGCAGGGATCAGCACCTGCAAATGCTCTGAAAAACCACATCCAAGCGCCACATATGCCTGGTGACACAGATGCACAGCAGTGACACCGGGGTCTGTGGCAGCAGGCACGGTGTCATATGGTGCGGCTCCGTGGGAGAAGAGGCAGCCGGATAAAGGGTGGGTGAAGGGCAGAGCTGTAAGGGAGCTGGGACATCTCTGTGCTGACCCAAATCCAGTAAGGGTTTGATGGTTGGGTAAAGCTCAGTCCTGAAGGGAGAGCCACCAAGTCAGCTGAAGATAACTTCTAGTGAAACAAAAATAACAATCACTTCGCAGCTTTGATGAGGTGGCTTTAAACGTGCCCACGGCCATGAAGGAGGGTTACACAGGCTGCCTGAGGATCTGGCTCTCGGCTCTCTACTAAGAGGGTGTTTTGAGTAAACATAGACACATTGCCAGCCGAAATGTCAGAAGCCATCTGATCAGACACTCGAGCATCTTCCTTGGCATTTATGGCTAATCTGCTAATTAGTCGAGAAAAGCGGTCTCCTCCTTAGATGTGAGGGAGCAGCAGCTGGGAACGGCACTAAGATAAAACAGATTAACTCTGCCCCATCCGCGGGACTCACATCTGCCAGCACAGCAGACAGGTCCAAGCGTTTCCCTGACTCCCTCCAGGCAGTGGGGCAGGAAGCAGCGAGCCCTCCAGAGGGGCAGGAGGTTGCAAGCCTGGCACAGTCCTGGCTCCTGGTGCTCGTTTGGATGCGAGGCAGGTGTCTGTGCGCCAGGCAGGCTGCTCGAGTCCTGTCTGGTTGCATGGGCAACACACTGCACCTCTCACTTGGGTAAAATCTCTCAACATTTGTGCTGTTACTCTTTAACTGACAGTGCAGAGCGCTGGGTCCAGCTGGAGCTCACAGCACCAACACCGACAAGGGAAGAGCGCAGGACAGGGAGTGCTCAGGACACGTGTGAGCTCTCAAGGTGAGAGCCCAGCCCGTCACAGGAACAGCCCTTCTCTCCAGCCCAGAATTACTGACCAGACCTGCTCCACGAGGGAAACTACTGCACAAGAGATGATCCATCCTTTGCCTCACTCAGCAGAGTTTAGCACGAGTCTTTTTGAGGCTGCAGTTCCAGCCAGTTTATTAAAGGATGGAAAAAAAGTAGCAAAAAACTTCACAGAAAAGAACAGAACCTTGATCTATTTTGGATGTGAAAAGAGGTTAGTATTTGGATAATAACCTCCCCTTGGATCAGGGTCCATTTACAGTCACGCAAAGAACAAACAGTGCAGCAGCAGGGCTGAAGAGCAGAGCTTCAGACAGCAGCCACAACCCCACCACCAATGCCTACAGGGTGACCTCCAGTGGGATGAGTGAGACATGACAAATTTCCAAGTTACATGAAGTAACATCTTTATTTTAAAACCATCTTTGTGCATTATGAAGGAGCAGAAAGGGGAACAAACAGGATCCTTTGGAGCTTCCCATTACCACCACCCCAGGACAGCTGCAGAGCCACAGGATTTCAGGCTGGTTACAACACGAGTCGACTGCTGCCTGTTTGGAGAGAGATGCACAACCACCAGCTCTGCTGAGCCAAGGAGCTACCTGCACATGACGCCACACAGAGCTGCATCCTGGCAGTCCTACATTCCACCCCCCCGACAGGCTCAGCAGGACTCTTCAGGCACAGAAATGGCTGGCTCAGCCCTGTGCCCTGCTGTCTGTATGTTCATGAGCCAGGGCGGCGCTGGCAGCTTCCCAGGGATTCCACATCAGGTCCTGTCTCCCCTTTGTACTGGTCAGAGCAACCTGCACCTGGCACACAGACAGGTGTCTGTCCCACTGCCCAGGCTGCTGCACGCCCAGGCACCTGAAACCTCACTGGGCGTGCAGCCCTTCGCTGGGGCTCGCTGACAGCACACCAACAGTTCTTGCACAAGAAGAGGCAATTCCCATCTTCCGCGATCCCCTAAGGAATACAGCCCGGCAGCCTCTGGCAAGGGAACTTGTCAAAACCCATTTTCAGACAGCCAGGATCACACCCAGTTGCATCAGTCCGCTCCTCCTGCCCTCCCCTCAGACCTGTGTGAGCCCCGTGTTCAGCAGCAGCTGTGCAGCCACAGCCCCGGGCTGGTTTCTGCAGCTCCCCTGAACCACGCGGGGCCGCCGCCTCAGGGCCCGCCCATCACTCCCCCTGTGGAGCGAGGGTGCTTCCCCGTGCTGGCAGCTCCCCGGCCTCCGCCCTGCTTCCGCTTCATCTGGCCCTGCGATTCTGCTTTCAGTGTCTCAGTCCAGAAGGCATCGAAAGATCCCGGAGCCTGGTACCCCGGCTCCTGGGGATCCAGGGCATCTTTGCTCAGCAGGACACAAATGGCAGGAATGTTCCTCTTCACTGTCAAGGCATCGAGGCCTGCCTCAGGCACAATGGGCTCCCAGATTTCTTCAATCTGTCTGAAGAGCACTTTGGTGATCTGGTGCAGCTCCTTCAGCCTTCGTTTCATGATTTCCACGCAGGTGATGGTCTTGCTGACGGCCTTGCCTGAGCCAGTGAAAAGAATCTGCCGCACCGAGTCCTGCTCCATCTTGCTCATGGCATAGCCCATCAGATTCCTGATTTTGCTCCCATCCTTCACCTTCATTTCAGTAATATCAGCGGGCAGGTCAGTGAAAGGAAGAGGACAAGGTTTCTCCACAATTTTGGTCTTCTTATAGTTCTCCATTCTGCAATGCTGAAAAGGAAAAGAGACCCATGAACACCCAGCTGTAAAGAAACTCTCACCACAGTTAGCTACAGCCTTTCCTTTGAAGGGCACTCTGAACTGTCAGGGTTGGGAATCCTGGAAAGGCACAACCAAAAGATTAGCCCAGTCCTCATAAGGACATACCTACACTACGAATGTTACCACAGGGCGGCCTGAGCCTTGGCAAGTAGGCTGTGAAATTAACAGCTTTAGTGCTGTGGGCCTAAGCAGGGTGACATGAAAAACACTGCTGTATCTCAAGAGAATGCAGAGCAAACAAGGGAAAAAGGGTGACTAAGAACAGAACTTGGGGATGCTGGCCACAGCTGCACCAGAAAATGCCCAGGATAAATTCAAGCAGAGTTTACGTGCAGGACCTCGTGTACAAATATAGGCTCATGGGGACCTGGCCAGCCCAGCTGAGGGTAAAACACTGCGTGTCACAAGGGAGATGGCAAACCAGGGATTGCAGCAATAAAAAAGCTTTCCTCGAGTAAAAGAGAGAAAGGCCGAGTCTCACATCTGCCATCTCAGCCAAGGCAGGTGCCATCCTGACCTAAGTCTGCTTGACCCTGTGCAGGGCACTCCACGTCCCCACGGCACAGCTCAAGGTGCAGAAGGTCGCAGTACTTTGTTTCCCGCAAGCTCCTGAGTCCCGCTGCACCCAGACGCTGCACCCCGCATCCCATCCTCCTCAGGGACACGGCAGCGCGGAGACCCCGCTCCGAACCCTGGGAGCACACGAGGCCCTCACCCCCACACGGCCACCGCCGCATCGGTGCCGGGGGGCCCGGGGGGAGCCAGGCCGCCGCGGTGGGATGCGGGAATGTCGGGGTGGGAGTGAGGGATGCCCCGGTGTGGCGTGCGGAACCCCCGCTCACCTGCGGCCGCCTCAGCGCCCCCTTCGACACAAGATGGCGGCCGGCGCCGGGCGCGCGCAAGCGCGAGGCAGATGGGCGGGGCTCGATACCGGGGCCACGCCCATCAGCCACATGATCGGGTGCGCCCGTAGTGGGCGGAGCGAACGGCGGCCACGCCCACAAGGCAGTCCGGGGCTTCCCCGCTCCCGCAGGCACATCCCGCTCTGCCGGCACCGGGCATGGCGTCCCTGTGCGCTCCCACGGGCGCATCCCGCTCTCCTGGCACCGGGCATGGACACGGAGTCCCTGTGCGCTCCCACGGAAGGCCGAGTGCCAGCTCCCACCCTTACCTGAGCTCCCCAGGCAGCTGCAGGGAGTGGGTTTTTTTAAAAAACAGCGACGGTGCTGATCAGGGAGAGTTCAGGGACCGGCAAGCTCTTCAGGGATTCCTGTGGGGATTCTGCCCCGTTCCTGCAGGACTCCCAGGTCACACTCAGCTGGGCAGCTTCTCACCAACCGGAAGGGTTTGAGACCCTTGCAAAAGCATGGCCTTGGAAACTCCATATTTGTTTCCTCTTGTGCCTCTCACTGGAAAGGGAAAGAGCCAGCACAGGCCTTGGCTTGCAGCAGCCTCAGGAAAGCAGAGGCAGGATAAAGGCAAAAGCTACTCCTTCTGTCAGCACAGAGATGGGAGAACATCAAGGCGGAAAAGATCCACAAGACCAGATTCCCCTGAGCATGGACAACTCACATGAACAGGAGTGTGGGGCAGTCTACAGAGTGTGGGACTGGAAGGAATTTACCCACCCTTGGCCCAAGGCTGAAAGGAACCACTGGCCATCTCCTGGAGGCTGCCAAGAGATCACTGCCTGGGGAAAAATCCCCAGTCTGTGCCAGGAGCATTCCTCACACCCAGGGAGAGACAGACAACGCAGTTAGTGTTTCAGGACTTTACTACAGCCCACAAGGAAGCACAGAAATCGTGTTTTTAAAATACATTGAAACCAACATGCATTTGAGAGAGGTGCAAGATTTGCAAACAATGGCAGATTAAGGAGCAGTGTGGCTTTGACTGGGGGCTGGCAAGGCTCTGTACAGAGCTGGGTGCCCCAGGATCCTTCCTTGTCACTTCAGCACGCTCGTGCCAAGCGGGAAGGACCTGGGACCAGCAGGATGCAAGCTGTGCCACAGGAGCCCTGGGCATGCTGTGCTCCCAGCTCTGCCATCACTCTGCCACAGGTTTTGCCTGCTTGGCCACTTCCAGACGTGTCAGGATTTCATTCCATTGCACAAACTGCTTGGAAAGAAGCAGGGTCTGGACATGATACTTAAGGAAAGTAATGTGGAAACTGCGAGGAAGAAACCCAGGTCAAAGCATCCTGACAGCATCATTACACCCCTGACTCCCTGGGAGAGCACAGGGCACCAGGCTGCTGAAAGCCTCCATGGATTCAATCCACCCAGTGGCTGAGCCACTGCACAGCACCATACACCCACAGGAGTCCAGGAGGCACTTGTGAACACCACAAACCACTGCCATCCAAGGGCTTTCAAACTACTGCCATCCAAGGGCTTTCTACAGAGTTTCCCTACCCACTGTGGCTTTGGGATGTGCCTCAGCACTGGGATCCTACGCAGCCAAGACAGGGACAAAGGTGTCACCACATCAGAAAGGCTGTTAAACCCCAGGCTGGAGATGCAACAGGATCAGCCAGGGGAAGGGGTCAATTCAGGTGTTCCAAGCCCAAAGTTCAAAGGATACCATTTTGTTGTAATCCTCAAGGAGTGTCTTGACGCTGTCAGTGAGATCATGACGCTTCTCCTGTGAAGAGGGGAGTCACGGTGCATGAGCAAAAATAAGGTGAAGGACATTTCTCCCTTCCCAGTCCATGACAGCACGGCAGGAAACTCATCCAAGGCCAGCACTCAGTGCTCAGGCCTTGGCTGTGGGTGCTCACTGCAGCTGGACTGGTCCCATGAAACAGCAAAGCCACCACGCTTGCACTGCTGCCTGCCTCTCCTCAGTATCCAGGCTTTGCTTGCTCCAGAAATGAAACTCACAGCAAAATGCTGAAACAGACCATTAGGAACTGCCCAGGCTACTCACTGCCAGCTCCAAGAGTGCCCATACAGGGAGAGAAAGGGTGAAGGGACAGGGTGGCAGTGTCAACAACATTCCAGAGAGTAGGACACTGGAGGAGAGCAATGCCTCACTTCAGTGTCTCTGTAAAAGGGGGAATTCAAGATAGTTGAACCCACTGTCACTTACTAGGTGTCACTGAGAGCTGTTTTGAGTGGGGTTATGGTGGGCAAATTTCCAACTTGGACTCAATTCACAGAAATCCTGGCTCCTTTTCCCCCTTGGAGTACTTAAAACTTCTTTAAGACCATAGTTTTAAAATTCAGATTGCAAAAAATGCCATAAATGAGCAATTCAATCAAATACAAATACAGGGGTGTCAGTACAGCCACTGGCAAAAGGTTCCTAGGCCCTTCTAGTCAGTACTGATAGGAATATTGACGGTACCTGCTGCTGTATGTGGATCTGTGAGAGCCGCTGCAGCTTGGCTGCATGGTCAGGAACCGCTGGAAGCACAGAGGAGAAATCACTTTGGGTTGTTTTACAGCACATGGGAACAGCTCCCAAAGTACAGCCCAGTCCTCCTCCATGAGCACAGCACGGCAGAACTCCACTCACTGAGTACAAGTGTCACACACGACTAAAAAAACCTACTTAACTACGCTATGAGCTCAGGGATGCCCACAGCGAGGGCTAACCAAGAACTACATCAGAGCAAACCACCTGCCAGGCGCAGAGATGCGCTGGATGTGAAAGAGCTCACAGGAAGGAATGACCTGCCAGGCTCCACCCTCTCTGCCATGGCACTCTCCCTAGGCTGCTCCACAAGCTCTATCACCTCCTTGTCCCTGCAAGGGAGGCTGGAGCAGCATGAGGAAGGGGCAGACCAAGTTTGCACTCAGTTTACTCTCACCCCACTAAGCTGTCCTCTTCTCCAGTCCCAGGCTGAAGACAAAAGAAAGCAAGCAGGACAGGCCACAGCTCAGCAGGTGGCATCTGCAGCTCCAGCTTGCAGAACATGCATACCTTGGATACTGGTGCTGTCCAGGATGGGCTGGAGGTTCTTCACTTGCTCCAGAAGGGCTGCACGGGCAGGAATGGCCTGTTCCTCTGGTTGGGGGAGACAAGGAGCAACATCAGTAAACACAAAACATTGCTCTGGCTTTTCACAAATAGTGGTAATTTTTCCAGCTGATCTGTCTTTACAGAAAGGAGCTAGTTCATGATTTGATTTACATTTTTGTCCTGCTCATCCCTGGGTATTGATTCACACCAATTTCATGCCGGAGAATCTCCACCAAGTTTTAATGAGAGGACAAGGAGTATGGGTACAAATTGAAACAGAGGAAATTTAGGCTGGGTATTAGGAAGAAATTCTTTACTGTGAGTGTGGTGAGGCACTGGCACAGGTTGCCCATGAGGCTGTGGATGCTCCATACCTGGCAGTGCTCAGGGCCAGGCTGGATGGGGCTCTGAGCAACCTGGGATAGCTGGGGAGGTGTCCCTGCCCATGGCAGGGTGGGCCGGGACTGGATGGTCCTTAACCTTCCTTCCAGCCCCTTAACATTGCACGACTCTATGGAATTCCATTCACAGATTGCACCATTGCAGCTTGATCAAATTCCTCAGGTCAAGAAAGGACAAGGCTAGGGAATGTCAAAATACACGCAAATGTCTTCTGACTTGGTCCCAGCCTGAAGAATACTGGAAGTGGGGTGAGGAAACCATTCTAGCTCCAGCTTTTCTTACCAGCCTTTGATTAATTTGGGGCTACAGTGAGTGATCAATATGGGATGGATCAGAGCTGATAAAAATACAGTGTGGCTGTGCACAAGGGAGCACTGAGGGTGGCAGACATCCTTATATAAACCCCTCTCTGACACCTCCTTGGAGCATGCAGTGCCACATCTTTACAACTGAAGAAAAGAAATCCATCCTGACCCATCTTAGGTAAAGGACACTTTTTTTTTTTTTTGCAGTGCTACAAAAGCCTCCTGTTTACTCTCATTTTTTCATGCCATACCTGCCAAGATGAACTGCAGCTTCATAGTGTCTGGAACGGCCATCCTGTCAATGTACTGGGGGTCAAGGTATTTTATTACATCTTCAACTGGAGGGATGAACAGGTTGGGAGAGAAAAAGTAGGGGACATGTTATGGCATTCACAAGAGCAGCCTCCCCTCCCTCTACATATCACATTACTGTGCAAACACTGCTCACTGGGCCACCTTTTTTTTTCTCCCAAATTAATTAATTTCTATGTCACTTTGGAGCTCTGTGACCAAGAACTAATAAATGGCTCAAGCCAGGAAACACTGCTTTAGGGACAACAGGAAATCTTGCTTTTTGTCTGGACAACAGTTATCAAAGGTGAGTGAAATCTGCTTTCTCCCACTCTCAGGACAAAACCGGCCAACAGTCCCCCATCCTTAAAATCATCCACAAATGCAATTTATTCTTTGATACTGAGCAGCCACTGCAGAGTTCGACCACAATGATCCTCCCTGCCCCTCCTGCGACAACACAGAGCAAAACCTGGCCAGCATGCAGCTCTGCAGGATAAAGCACCCCCCAGTCTGGAGGCAGCTCCCCAGTTCTGCCCACTGAGTGAGAACTTTATTGCTCCCACCACACACAGAGGGCAGAGCTACTTCAGCAAGTCCAAGAAGTCCATATGTGCAAGAATTCATTCAAGAAGCTCATACTCCAAGAGCCTTCAAGGACTGCCCTTCAGCCAGAGCAGATTCTGGCACTAACACCGGCAGATGGAAATTGAGCAAATAGCAGGCTCCAGCTGCCCTTTTCCCATCTCTGACTGCTGAGCTGGAGGATCGCGAGCACAAAACCCCCTCCCAATTACTTATTTCTGTGCCAAACAAACTGAGATAAAGGCCCAAAACAAGCAGATTGCGGATGGTACTTTTGTTTAGAGCAGCGAAACGCTTTGGAGCTCCCCCCTCCCGCCCTCCGCGATCCTTCCCGTTCCGCAAGAGCCACTCACTTTTCTTAAAAAGGATTTTGATCCTCTCCCTCTTCCCGGCGATATTGTTCAGCGCCACCTGCACCTTCACCAGCTCGTCCGCCACCTGCAAAGGCACAGAGGGAGGGGACGGCGCTGTCAGGCCCCGCCGGGCAGCGGCACCCCAGGCACGCCAGGCCCCGCCGGCCCGCCCCAAACGGCCCCGGGCCGCCCTCCGCAGCTCCCCCCCGGCACCTTTCGCTGCGCGCAGCCCCCGCTGCCGAGGCCGACGCGCTGCTCCAGCTCCTCCAGCCGCCACTGCAGCCGCCGCAGCTCCGCAGCGCCCGCCGCCATCTTCGTGCCGGGCGGAAGCAGCCGCGCCTCACTTCCGGCGCGCCCGGCTGTTGCCATGGCGGCGCGTTGCTAAGGACCACGGTTGCCATGGAGGCGGGAGGGTAGGCCGCGTCTGGCGGAGCGGGGCCCTCTCGGAGGACGCGGCGCGGTCGATGGCGATTTGCACTGCAGAGGGAGGCGTGCAGCCCTCCCGCCGCCTGGGAGGGCAGTCGATGGCCGCTTCATTCCTGCGTGGTCCTCCAGGAAAGAGGCGCTGGGATGTATTAAAAGGAATTGATGTAGCGATCCATGTGGATGCGGGCCCTTTGAAATCCGGGAGGCTGCCGCCGGCTTTCCCCCAGGCCTCTGTCTGCCCGCGTTCACCTTTCTCTTATTGACTGCCACAGGTGACACTCGCGAAGAAGAGAAGCACTAATGAATGGTGCAGCCAACCCCAGCCGGGCTGGCACTCACAATTACACGGATTTCTGACAGGGATGAAACTAATTCATAGTAGCAGCATCTGCCACAGAAAAAGTCCAGAGGGTTTCCCAACCGCAGAGCAGGAAGTATCCTAGGGAAGACTGTGGCCAGCAGGTCAAGGAAGGTGATCCTGCCCTCTGCTCAGCCATGGTGAGGGCACATCGAGAGTGCCCTGTCCCCTTCCGGGCTCCTCAGCACAGGGAAAACAATAAGATACCAGAGAGGATCCAGCAGAGTCCACAAGGATGATTTGGGGTCTGGAGTATCTCTTCTCTGAGGAGAGACTGTGGGAGCTGGGCCTGTTCAGTCTGGAGAAAAGACTGAGGGGATCTCATAAATGCATGTAAATATATCAAAGGCTGGTATCAGAGGGGATGGTGCCAGACTCTTTCCAGTGGTGCCCTGTGACAGGATGAGGAGCAATGGCCATAAGCTGCATCAGAAGGAAGGACTTCATTATCCTGAGGGTGACAGAGCACTGGAATGGCTGACTAGGGAGGTTATAGAGTTTCCCTCTCTGGAGACATCCAAGACCCACATGGATGTGTTCCTGTGTCACCTGCTCCAGATGACCCTGCCTTGGCAGGGGGGTGATCTCAAGGGGTCTCTTCCAGCCCTGCTGATTCTGTGAATTTTCAAAGCACATTCTGATGTCATCCTCTGTATCCCAGGGCTCAGCCCCATCATGTACAAATTTCCTCAGCAGTGCCAGGGTGAACATGGGCCTGGGTATTGCACTGCCATAGCCCAGCCGCCATGGAACACTACATCAATGTTCCAAGCCACTCTTTAGATAAAACCCATCAGCCAACAGCAGGTATTTTGCTAACATCGCTGATAATGTGGGCTGCATGGCTTTGGCGAACCCTCCCATTGCCCTCTGCTGAAAGGTAAACCCACTGTGCCCTGAAAAATCGTTGTCCCTACAGGTGCATTCCTACTGAGCATGGTACAGGATGCAGGCGGGAACTGTGGGGTGGCCCAGTGCCCCAGCAGCCCTCACGCCCCCCCAGATCCCCTGCAGGAACTGTGCAGAGCACTCAGGCAGCAGGAGAAGGCTGAGGCTTCGTGTGCGCTGCCTTTTCTTCCCAGGGATCGATGCCTGGGATCTTCAGAGGGCGAGGAGCTGAGCTTTGTTCCACAAAGGCGACAAACAGAAACGGCTTCATTAGCAGGGGGCTGCAGCAGGGTCTGGGGGCTGCAGGGGGCAGGGCTGGGCACACAGCCATGGCCTCTGCTTCTCTAAGCCATGGCCTGTGCTCAGAGGGAACCAGCCCTGCCGTGGCCTGGGCCCAGCACGATGGGCAATGCCCCAAACACACAAATGCCTGTCCTGGAGGGTCCCAGACCACCCAGCACCCTGAGCTGAGGAACTCAGGCAGCACTGGGATGGGCTTTGGAACTGTCCTCATCCACCCTTCAGAGTTCCATCCAGTTTGCAAGCCTTTGAGTTCCATCCAGAGTTCCATCCTTTGCAACACCTTGCGACGGTGTTTGCAGGGGTCCCAGGTTGAGGGAAGAGACAAGAATGTTGACTCTATGTTTCAGAAGGTTTGATTTATTATTTTATGATATATATTATATTAAAACTATACTAAATGAATAGAAGAAAGTATTTCATCAGAAGGCTAGCTAAGAATAGGAAAAGAATGGAATGATAACAAAAGCTTATATCTCGGACAGAGAGGCCGAGCCAGCTGACTGTGATTGACCATTAATTAGAAACAACGACATGAGACCAATCACAGATGCACCTGTTGCATTCCACAGCAGCAGATAATTATTGTTTACATTTTGTTCTTGAGGCTTCTCAGGTTCTCAGGAGAAAAAAAAATCCTAAGGAAAGGATTTTTCAGAAAATATCATAGAAAATATCAGATATTTTCAGAAAATATCATGATATTTTTCAGAAAATATCATAGCTACAGAAGGGAGCTGCATCTGCAGCACTGATTGCCCACAGCCCAGCACATGGAGCCTGCTTCCTGCTTGTTGGGAATGAGAGCAGGCCTTTGGCCACATCCCCCATCCCTGCAGCCTGCAGGGGCACACTGGTTCAACCACTTGCCCCGGGCACAGCGCTGCAGCTGGATTCAATGCTCCATCGGCTGGGCTGGATTGTCCCCTCATCCTCCACCTTCTCTCTCGTGCTCAATTACAGTCCCTGCAGGACGCGGGGAAGCAGGCATCAATCAGGGCTGGTTGCTCAGGTGACAGCAGCTGTGTCCCCGAGCTCCCCAGGGAGCACGGAAGCGCTCCCTGGGCCCGGTAATGAGTGGGGACGCGGGCCTGCATGTGCCCTGCCGGCTCCCTGGGGCTGCGCTGCTCGATGAGCCGCGGCCAGCGCTTCACAGCAGTGCAAAGGGACACGAGACCCCAATTAAGGCTGCATCAATCCCAGTCCAGCTCTGCTTGGTACACTCACAAACAGCCCCCACACACACGCACACCCCCCTTGTTGTTCATGAACCTTCCTCCATCCCCGGCGGCCCGAACACAGGGATGGACCCGCCAGACCACCGCTTCTCTGCAGGGGTTCTGTGTCACCCCCATGCCCTCCCAGCACCCCGACCCTCCGTGTCACCCCCGTGTCCCGAGCTGGTCCGGGGCCGGCAGCGCTGCTGCAGCACCCTGGACAGCGACACCGCTCCCCGGGTGGGCTCGGGGTCCGGGCTGGGGTCCCCCCTTGCCCTGGGAATGTCGGCGGGACTCTGGGTTGTGGCTGGGGCTGTTCCCGGAGGACTGGGGGCTGTCCTCGAGGGGCTGAGCTGGAGCTGTACCTGAGGATCTGCGGCTGTCCCCGGGAAGCTGGGTGTCCCCAGGGGTCCGAGTCTTGGCCTCGGGGGGGACTCTAACAGGAGTTTCTGTCCGCACGGGAGTCCCCTGTGCCTCTTCAAATGCACAAGTGGCTGCACACGTGTGGAAGCCCATGAGCATGAGTGTGACAGTCCAAGTGAACGTGCCAGTACTTGGAGTTTGTAAAAGGGAGCAAAAGCCACCACCCACATGTATGTGCACCTCCCAGCTCCACCACGGTCACCTGTGTCCTCTGTGGGCACTGCTCAGGTGACAGGCTGGTGCATCACTGCTGGCATCTCACCAGGTCCAACCCGACAGCCCCATGGACATGGCCTCAGCAGCTCCAGTGTCATGTTTCCTTTCCTGGCACAGAGCAGCCTAACAGGGTGCCCACCCATGGGTGAGCTGCCACTGGGGGCTCATGGGGGCAAGCTCCACAGCTTGGCTGGCACAGCTGGAGTTGGTGCCCTGTCTGATCCAGCCCATGTCTGGTGGGCATAGGGCACCCGTTTGCAACTCAGAGCTCCCCGAAACTGAGGTTTCACGGTGGGCCGTGAAACCTCAGGCACCACAGGTGTTACCCCAGCATGTTGGGGTGTCCTGCACATCCAAACTGGGCCCTGCAGCTCGGTGGGTGACACCATGCCCTGCACACAAGCCTCAGCAGTGGTTTGGTTCAGGAGTTTGTTTCCTTTAATAGACAGACGGAGTCACGGCCACGGTGGGAGCGCAGGGAGCAGCCGGCGCCGCGAGCCCCCGCGCTGAGGTAGAGGAGAGCACCACTCCATGCTCCCCTGCTTTGGCACCCTGGGGCACACGCGGGAGGAGGAGGTGCCTGCCCAGCCCCAACGAGGTAGTTCAGAGTGCCATCTTCTCCCCCTGTCACCCATCTGGGGACCCTGGCACCCAGGCAGTCTCTTTGGTGGTGGGGGGGGCTCTGCTGGGCAACCCTGCCCTCCCCGACATAAACCCCCAACCCCAGCCACACCCCAATAAGCTTCACCCCCACCATTCCCACCAATATCCCCATTATTTTTCCCCCCCCAGGGTGATCCCCCTGAGCTGAGGACCTGGGGGGCTGAGATGCCACCACCCTGGGGTGTCTCAGGGCAGGGACAGCAAGCCCAGGCAGCGCAGGAGGACTGGGTAGGGGCGTCTGCAGTGGGCAGGGGGTGCAGTATGTATATCGGGGCTGCAGTGTATAGGGGCTACAATTTTTAGGGGCTGCACATATCGTGCCTGCAGTGTTTGCATGGAGGGTGTGCAGGGAGAGGCAGCATGGGCACCAAGGGTGTGTGCAGGGGATACAGGGTATGCATTGAGGGGTGTAAAGGGGCAGCAGTGCGTGCAGCGAGGTGGGTTAGGGGCTGCAGGATGTAGGGGATGCAGCATGCAGGTCCTGGGGGTCCCCCAGGCATCAGGGCAGCAGGAGATGTATGGGAGGGTCACCTGGGGGTGGTGCCTTGGGAAGGAATGTGTGTATGTGTGTGTGTCAGAGGGCACACATGGGGATAAGGGACAAAAGGGCCCAAGTGGGTGTTCACAGCCTTGCATGGACGCAGCTCAGTATTGCAGCAAGAGGCACCTTTGGGTCCCCCATCCCACCCTGGTGGCCCAGCTGGGTCCCACAGCTCAGTCCCCCAGACTCTGGGCATCCCCAGCTGCTCTCAGGGTAGGGGCACATCTGCCTTACAGCGAGGTGCTAGTGGGAGTGTGGCTTTGAGAGGAGGCTGGGAGCAGAGGGTTTGGGGCAGGCATGGGGTTTGGACGGGTCTGGGTGCTCCCTCCACCAGGTGCCAGGGTGGCTGAGGGCCGGCGGGCGAACAGGACACCTGGGGGACAAGAACAAGCAGGTTAGGGCAAGCCCAGGGTTGGAGGATCGACTCACCTGGCTCCCAGCACCCAGGCTGGAGAGGGTGGGACGATGACTCATGGGGGCTTCAGCCCCATCATCACTTGTGATGTCTCCCCCAACCCAGTCACCCTTGCCTGCATGGGGCAGTCTGTGGGGTGGCCCAGGGCCCTCTTGGCTGGCAGCCCCACATAAGGCTTAGCCCTGACCTTTCCTGCTCATTAAATATTTAAATTCTGAAGGCAAAGCCATTGATTTTAATTGTGGGGTGTCTCAGCAGGACAGGCATAGATCTGGGGAGCATGGAATGGGGATCTGGGTGCACACTGGCAGCACAAAGGATCCTCTGCTCCACCAAAGCACCCCAACATCTTTCTGTGCACCATGTTCTGCAATCAGCCAAGCCCCACACTCAGCCAGAGACCCTCTGGGCACACAAGCTTTGGGCTGACCACAAATCCAAGCCCTGCCTTTGGGACCCTGGGGTGTGGAATGACCTTAGGTGCAGGGTCACTTCTCAGCCAGAGTCTGTCCATCTATTCACCCCCCACTTTAGCCCTTCATCGCTAGCACCTGCTTTGGGCCAATTTCCATCCTTGTCAACCCCCTCCTCCTCCTGCCCCCTCTCCCCAAGCCCTGCCACTTCATTACGATGGATTTTATAGTAAAGACATCAGATTGAAGGAAGGACTTGCTGGCCAGGCAGTGGCTATAAGTTATTGGATTTCCCGGCCGCAATTACACGGGCCAAGCGGCCCTTCTATTTACCTGTGTAGACAACTCCATTTATTTCTATTGACATGTTGATACTGCTAATGCTGTTGGTGGACAGGTTCAATGCGGTCTCCTGTCTGTCATCTGGGGAAAGGAAATACCAATATGAGTGTTAAGCGAAACAGAAACAAGAACCTGTCCGAGACAGATAAGCCGGGACGCAGTCCCTGTGGGCATCCATGCTCCTCTCCAGCGGCTGCTGCTGCCGCCACCTCGGATGCCAGAGGACGGGATGGCCAAGGCTGAGGTGTTGCATGTCTTTACCTCGGTTAGAGATCTTGATGTTCATGGGGAACTGGGAGGCCATGGCCAGGAGGTTGTGCTGAAGCGCATGTTGCACCAGCCGCTGCTGCTCCTCTGCTGTCAGGGCCACCTTCTTCTCTGGGGGCTCCCCTGTCTCCAGCTTCTCCCGCAGTTGCTCCAGCACCACTGCCTGTGAGGCAGCTGCTGCTTGGGCTGCTGTGAGATGGTGGCTGGCCAGTCCCACTGGGATAGCAATGCGCCCTGGCACTGATGCTGCCAGCATTCCGTCCTCTGCAATGACCAAGAAAACTCAGTGGGTCCCTCATCACATCACCACCTCACCATCCCCAGTGGTGCCAACTCCACCCCACCAGCAATAGGGCAGGCCAGGCCACCACTCCCAAAATCTGGGCTTGGTCCTTCTCCAAAGCCAGGGAAACTACGCTGGTTTCACACCCTGAATGGGACTAATTTTCCCCCAGCAAAAAGGTCAAAAGCTGACAAGGAAACATCCCTGCTGCTGCAGCAGTGTCCATCTCTGGGAAGACGGGATCCTCACCCACCTTTCTTAACGCTGTGCACTTGGCTGAGCTGGCCACAGCTGTGAGTGGAGATGGTAAGAGCTGGCAGAGGCATTTTGGGGGTGCCCAGCAGGGTTGGGGTGCTGGCTGGTGAGTAGTTGAAGAGTGCCGTGCCAAAAGTCTGCCTGCGCCCCTCCCGACGGTTGCTGTCGATGGCAGCTTGGAGCTCTCCGGGAGAGCTGAGCGCCCGCTTCTCACATTCGTATGGATACAGGTACTTCATGTATCTGCATGGGGAGAGAGCCAGGGGGAGATCCACGGCTGTGCACCTCCCAGCCTGTCCCGTGCTAAGCAAAGAGCCCTTGGGAAGGAGCAGAGCCCTCCAACCACTTTTGCGGTACTCCATGTCCAACCCCATCCAGGGCTCTGGGACATCTGAGCCAGAGGGTGTCCCAAGAGAGGTGTTCCCCACCTGCCATGCTGCCAGGCACTCACTGTGTACGGAGGGTGAAGGCAGCACTGGTGATGGAGGTAGGTAGGTTGAGGCCCTTGGTGATCTCCCGCCAGATCTTCTTGTTGATGACTTCAACCAGGCCACCCTTGTCTGTCACCAGCTGGTACAGCGTGTACAGGTCCAGCACTTGCTTGGCCATGATGGGGATGCGGTTCACTGGTGTTCCTTCCAGAGGCACACAGAGACACAAGAGGGTGTGGGGGGCTGCCCACAGGGCCCTTTGCGCCTGGGATCACAGTCTCCACCCTGCCCCCACTGTCACTGCAGGTACCCACAATGGGAGGCATATCTCTCCATGCGCAGGTGAGCACCCATGGGCACCTGGCATGCAGGTAGGACCCTAGAGTGCCTGGGAGAGTGGCCAAAAAGCAGGGGAGACCTCAGCATGCTGGCAGAGGGTCACCTCTGATGGAGATGTCAGTGCAGCTGGATATGCTCTCATGTGGGATATGGAGCCTCAGTGGGATGGGCAGAGACACCCTTAGATAAGGTTGTCTCCCTATAATTCTCAGAGCTATCTGTACAGCACCAATCTATGAAATCTCTCAGAGCATCCTAGAGTGATTCACTCTGTAATGCTCCTTCAGAGCCCCATAAAGAGAGACTCCCTCTACACTTTAAAAAGGGACCCATCCTATAACCTTTCTGAAGAGGGATGACCCCCACAACCCTTCTGGGAGCACTCACCCCACTATCTCTCCATGAGGAGGTTTTCTCTTCCAGCTCCAGACTCCTTCAAAGAGTTCCTGAAAAACCTCTTAACCCTACAGATGCCCCCAGAAGTTTCCTCTGCTTAAAGGACCTTAGTGCCCTGCTTCAAGAAGCCTGACCCCAAATCCTCTTCAACTACCCTCAGCAGAGACCCTGACCCCTGGAGCCCCACCATCATCCTCCTCTACAAGGCTATGGGGAACATGGGTTCACCACGGTTCTGTGAGCCCAATATAGATCAGCATGGTCTCCACAGCCACCAAGTCTGGCTAAAAACCCCTCCCCACTTCCTCAGCACCCCCAAATAACCTCACAGCCTTGCTGTGCTCCATGCCTCCTTGGGATGATGGCCTGGGCATTTGCTGGAAGCTGGGCAGAGGAGGGACAAGCATCACATCCCATCCCACCCTGTTCTGTCCTGTGCCATTCCACCCCCTATTTATTCCTCCTGCGAGGTGGCGGGGCACAGGCAGTATTGGAAAGCCATCCATTTGGCCCAGGGAGGCTGTCACGACTGCGCTTCGCCCCTCAAACGAAGCCGTCATTCACCGCCATCCTCCAGCATCCCTAATTTATGGCCCTGATATTGGCTTGGCTTCTTCACATAAGCCTGAAAAATGAGCTCTTTTTATTCTTTTACTGAGTTCATTTAACTTTTTTTTTTATGTGTGTCTGTGTTGTTCACCAGGTCGGGAAGGGGGAGAGGAGTTTATCCTCCTGGGAGAAAGGCAGAGATATTGACTTGACATCTGCTGTCAGCAGCTCACCAGCTCTGCTCAGGGCTGCTGGCACAAGACCATCACCTCGGGGGCCCAGTTTGAGGGCTCTTCCTCACCCCCAAACAGTGAGTTTTCAGGGTCTCAGCCCCCAGCTAATGGCCCATGGATTTCTCTTCTCCCATCTCCAGCCTGGTGGCTCACGAAATTGCCTCACCATTAATCTCACGGCTGTGTGGGGCATGTGGCCGATGCCTGTCCCATTGACAAAGGCACCTGTCTGCATCTCCACAGAGTGATGGCCCCAGCCCCAGCCAGGGCGAAGGGCACAAAAGCCCAGGGAGGTGATGCAGCCATTGTGGGGCTGCAATTAGCACCTTGATTGATTAATAGCCCTGTGTTATCAGCAGGGCACGAAGCTTGGTGGTGAAATGGGGGGAGGGGGGCTGCAGACCCCAGTAAGTAGATGTAGAAATAGTAGTAGTAAATGTAAAAACAAACAGCTCCCGTCTGTCCCTGATTACTGCCTTTGAGGTGCCACAGAAGCTGGGGCACGGCCATGAGCTGCCCCACTGCCTGTGTCTGATGATGATGAGCCACCAGGGCCAGCTGTGCCCTTGTGCCATGGGGTTGCCTCAGAAGATCTGCCCCCCAACCCATTTTTCAGCCCTACAAATCTTCCACTCTGCTGACAAATGTCAGTGCTGATACAGTCCCAACAGACAGCAGGTGGGATGCAGTCCCTTTCAGCAGGACTCACTCTGTGGACATCAATCCCTCCTGGGGAGCTTGGGGACACAGCCTGGGTGTCACAGTCTCCTGCCCATGCACCTCTGAGTGCCCCAGCTGCACCTGCAGTAGTTCTCAGGTGCTGCTTCTTACCCAGCTCTTGATGACCTGTGGGATGCTCTCCTTGCCCCTCAGCCCTTCTGTCCCCTTTCTCTTTGGGACCCCAGTCCAAAATCCCTGTCTCCTCCAAAAGGTTCAAGGACACCAATCCCTGCACACCCACACCCTGCCTCTCCTGCCCAGGGGGATGGCACCCACTCAGACGGGAGGCAGGACAGAAGGGATGGAGGGCACAGGAGTGGGACTTCCAGACACAGAGGGATGTGGAGCAGCACTGTCAAGGAAGCATTAAGTTCCCTCCCTCCTCCCCACACCAGCAGGCACTTACTTAATTAGCCCCGGCCCCAATAGCGAGGGAGTTAATTAGCTCTGGAGAGAGAGATAATGAAGCTGCAGAACAGCCCATGAATCTTGCAGCTGATAGATGCTGGAGGGCCGAGGCAGTGCTGATGCTCCCACTCACTCCCCACAGCTCTGCACCAGGGCCAAGGGGCACCCATGGGGCAGCACCCAGCCCACCCACAGCCTACAGCTCGCCCCAGGGTGAGCCTTCTGGCCGTGCCAGCCACTCACTACACACCCGTGTCTGCAACAGGTTTGTGGTGTCCCAGCCAACCCAGAAGTCAACCTCTGCAGCCCCACAGCCAGGTGGGCACCCTCACCACCCTTCCAGTGTGCAGGGCATGCAGGTGACTGCCCCCTCTGCCCTCCCTCACCCCATGCACAGCCAGCCCCAAAGCTCCTGCACCCCCCTCAGCCTTTCCCCGTTAATTAGCTCGGCATTAACCTCTGCCTGGGGTTTACTGGCTATCGAGCGGCTTGTTCATTAATCCACACACCAGCAAAAGGCTCTAATTAATACAGCCGGCCACACGCCCGCGCTCGGCAACTTTTAATTGTCGCAGGCCCGGCCGGGGAGGGCGAAGGTTAAAGCATTTATCGAGTCCCCGGGAGCCGGCTCGGCTCCCCATGCCGATAGCAAAGATTTCCGATGAGGATGGGTTGGCTGGTGAGCCCTTAACCCCTGGGTGCCCGGTGCCGCCCAGATTGCTGGCCCCACTCCACAAATCACTGAGGTGCTGATGGTGGGCATCCTCACCAGGCGCTGCTAACAGGGAGCCCTAAAGGGCACTGCCAAGGGCATTTCCACCAGGCATCCCTAAAACGTCCTGAAAACTGCTAATGGGCATCATTAAGGGGTGCTGCTAATGCCTGTCACCAAGGGGGTATGTTAATGGACACCCCCACCAGCTGTTTCCAGTGGGCATCCCTTCTGGGCATCCATAATGGGGCATCTGGGACAGATGCTCCAGCTTGGGGTTCAGGGGGAGGTCCAGGGGGAGTACCACAAGATCTGCCTGAGGGATTTGCAGAGACCTGGTGCAGCTCAGAGCCTGAGAACAACACACCATGAGCCCCCCACCAGCAGCTGAGGCAAGGGTGGCAGAGGCACCCACCCCAGCCACCCACCTTTACCTCTCTTCTGCATGAAGCCAAAGAGGTCATCCAGGAATTCCTTGCGTTTCGGGTCCTCATCCAGTTCATAGAGCTGGAGGCAGGAGAGAGAGAGGGATCAGCGCTTCCAGCACATGCAGGTGAGAATGGGGAGGGGAGCAGTGCCTGGGGCTGAGCACGGCCTGTGCCAGAACCTGGCATCACCCCTGGCTCCACGTGCCTGCCCTGCCAGCAACAAGAGGCTCTCTGTGCACCCCTAACAGAATCCCCTGACACATTCTCTGCCTGGGTGTGGGCTCTCCCTGTGCCTTGGGTCTGGCATGGGCTCCCCACAGACCACTGACATTTCTGAATCTTTGCTGCAGAGAGGCTGGGTCTGTGCCTCAGTCTGTCTGGCCCCTCACTCTCTTACATGCAAGAATCACAGCCCAGAGGCATCAGCAAACCCCAAGCCCCAGACAGGAGCTCGGGATCAGGATATTTAGCTCTGCTCTGGCACTGCCAAGTGTTGGTGTTCCCAAGGCCCAGCATGGTATCAGCATCCTCATCTGCCCTCATTCCTCACAGGGACACAGGCCCACCTGAACAGTGGGGGATGATTCCATCCTGGGGAAGGAAAAGTTGGCTCGACCATACCACTGGGTACCATCAAGGGAGCTGCAAGTGCCCAGGATTGCACAGACACAAACATGTGGCTGTGAGGACATTTATGGTGGATGGTCTGGACACAGGGACACAGCCTGAGCTGAGGGACAGCACAGGGGAGGTGAGTGCAGCCCCTACAGCAGGGACACCAAGTGCTGGCTCCCTGTGAAAGTCGGGCTCGCCTGATTCCAGCACAGCACCTGAGTGACCATGACAAATTGGAGCCTGCCAGATCGATGGCCCAGCAGTAAAAGTCAGAGCACATGAAGGAAAAATTAGCACCAATCGAAGACACTATAGACACCAATTCCTCCCAGCAAGCCCGGCAAGAATTTAAAGCCATTGAAAAGAAACAAAACTCAGCAGTCCAGAATGGATTTCCAAAACGTATACAAAGAAATGCAAGCTGGAAAACAAAGTCAGGCACAAAATAGAGTTGTTTAAAAAACAATTGTGCTGGGAAAGGCTGTTAAAAAACAATAGGAAGAGAGCACACCCCCGCTCCACACAGAACATTATTCACCAGACAGATAAAGGGAGCTGTGCTTAAGGGTCGTCAAGCTGCAGGCACAGGGGGATGTGGGGATGGGGGTGGATGCCATGGGGACACATGAATTCAGAGATATGGGAATGTAGGGATATGGGTCTGCAGGGATTCAGGGGACACGGGGATGGGGTGATCCAGGGATGCAATGGGGACACACATACAGGCACATGGGAACGCAGGGATGTGGGGTGTAGAGACTTTGAGGACATAGAGATGTGGGGATGGGGGAATGTAGGGACCTACAGGGATGTGAGGATTCTTCTACAGACCCCATGGTTCACACCACTGAATAGACACACCTAACACAGTCCCGTCTAACCCAGGTGCCAGCTGCCTGTCCCTTGTCACAGACAGATGGGTGCTAACTGCCTGTCCTTAACTTTATCTAGGGGTACACCTGCCAGACTCTCACCCTGCCCACAGGTGCTGAGTGCCTGCTCCATGGAGCTCCTTCTGCACTGCTTCTCCACTCTCTGGATCCCAATTACCTATTCCCTCCTTGCAGCTGGGTGCTCCTGGAGTGCCCTGACCCTGGGTGCCAGTATTGTGTCTCTCTCCACCACAGTCTTCCCTGCCTCGCTTCCCATCGCCTGCTCTTTTCCAGGAGGTCCCTGAACCATTGATTGCAGTAACTAGGTCAGGCTCTGAGCAGAGCTCCAGGAGGCTGCTTTGATTTCTGCCCCAGGAAGGCTGTGTCAGGAGGCTTTGCCTGCATTTTCCTGCCTGTCCCTGCCTCTGGAAGGCCTCCACACCAAGCGCTTTGACATCCCCTGACATCTGGCTTGTCAAGGCAGGGGCAAACCCCCAGAACTGGCAACTACCACTCATCCCACTGCAAGGTGAAGCCATGGCCTTCCTGAGGGTCACCTAGTGGATGGGCTTCAGTACCCACACACCTCTGCCCTGGGTGCCACTCGTGTTTCTCCTTCCATGGATGCAGGCAGGATCCCCCCTGGAGTGGGCTGCTACTGACTCCAGCCCCCAAAACAGGTGTGACCTCCAAGGGCCAGTGTTGGGAGTTTGGCTGGCTAAGGACTGGAAAAGTACAAAACCGTGGCTAATTCCAAGTCCTGCACCTGCAAGATAGCATGTCCTTGGGCCTAGCTGTAGTAGGATAACAAACTGTGAAAGAGACATGAGAAAAGAGAGATGTAACCCCTAAGGAATGAGGAAGAGTTCATGGTATAGTTTAAACAACAGATTGCTTGGCTTACAGAATATTCATAAGCTTATTATTTGCTGTATAAGTGTTTGATACTTTCTTCAATAAATTGGACCGGACCGGGTTGAACCTGTGATGAACCAACTGGTGTCCTGGTCCCCTTCCTTCGACAGGCCAGGTTCTATTTTTCCACTGTTTATTAACCTCTAACCTTTTATCTGTAGGGCACTGAGATACAGAAACACATTCATCAAACAGGGAGCGAAGGTCAGCTTTTAAGTGGAGATGAGAGTGGAGCTGAGTAACTGGGGACAAGGCGGCATGCCCCTGGGTACACCTGGGATGTACGGGGTGTTCCTTGGGATTTGGGGATGCCCAGGCTGGAGAAGAGATCTCGTGGGTCACACACAGTCTCTGTGCAGGGACACATGCCTCACCTGGGTGTGCACAACCCCACATGGGCTGCCACAATCCCATGTGAGAGGTGCACAAGCCCACAAGCTTGGGAGCATAGACAAACCTACACAGGCATGCACAACTACATCCAGGCTTGCAAAACCCCACAAGCATGCACAGCCTTGTGTGGGTCCACACAACCCCACAGGAGCGTGCACAGCCTCTTGTGGGCATTGCACAGCTCCACATAAGCATAGCACAACCCCCTAGTGCCACACAGATCCCCCTAGTGCCACACAGAAAGTGAAATGGGCATGCACAATCCTGCACAACCTTGCATTGGTGTGCACAGCCCTGCAGGGACACGTAGAACATCACAGGAGTGTGGAAAAGACTGTGATGCAAATGCACACACAACCCACAGGGGCACAAATCCCTACACAGGCACACATAGCCACGTCTGGAAGCGCACAGCCTCCCATGGGCAGGTGCAGCAGTCTGGTATGGGCCCAGACTTCCATGGGCACACTCCAGACTGCAGGAGCATCCACAACCCCATACACACATCCTGGGCACACACTCCAAACGTGCATGCACAGCCCAGATGGAACGTGCACGTTGCTGTATGTGCACCCACAACCCAAGAATGGAACACACAACACCAGGAAGGCACTCACAACCCCACATATACATGCATAATTCTGGACAGGCACTCACAACCCCAGAGGGGCATGTACAACCCCAGAACGGAACACACAACTCTAGACAGGCAAGCACAACCCTGACAGCACACACAAATCTCAGCTAGGCATGCACAGCCCCAAATGGGCAAGCAGAGCCCCATACATGCATGCACAGCCCTAAATCGGCAAATAGAGCCCCATACATGCATGCACAGCCCCAGATGGGCAAACAGAGCCCCATACATGCATGCACAGCCCCAGATGGGCAAGCAGAGCCCCATACATGCATGCACAGCCCTAAATGGGCAAGCAGAGCCCCATATGTGCATGCACAGCCCTAAATGGGCAAATAGGGCCCCATACATGCATGCACAGCCCTAAATGGGCAAATAGGGCCCCACACATGCATGCACAGCCCTAAATGGGCAAACAGAGCCCCATACATGCATGCACAGCCCTAAATGGGCAAGCAGAGCCCCATACATGCGTGCACAACCCCAAACAGACATACACAACCCCATATGTGCACACACAAAACCTGTACGTGCATCCACAACCCCAGATGGGCGCACAGAGCCCTGAACAGGAACACAGAACTCCAGAAGGGGATTTACAGTCCCACACATGCCTGCACAGCTGCAGACAGGCTCTCCACATGGATGGGTACCCCTGACCCCACAGAGCATCCCCCTGCCATGTGCTTTAAGCGGTGGTCTGAGCCTTGCCCAGGGGCAGCTGTGCAACACAACCAGCGGCTCCTGCTTGGGGTGACCTATGAGCAAGGACCCTTTTAATCGTGTTTGTATTGATATAATTAGTAACTCATTTAACACCATCGATGTAACTATATTCCTCTATAAACGGAAGTATTAAACTGTCAAGCCCCGGGATCAATATCCCTCCAGTGTGCAGCGCAGCCCTGCTCTGCCAGCATTGGGGACCCATCCATGCTTGGCCACCCCACTGGCTTTGGGACCCCAGCAGCAGCACCCCAGCTCCACCTGGTCCTGCTGGCTGGGTGCTGGTGCAGGACTGGCTTGGTGTGTCCTCATCCCACACCCCACGCTGGATGCAGCTCTGGGACCTGCTCCCTCCTGTCATCCCATTGCCATGGCGACATCTATATTCCTTAAGAGATGGGGATAACGGGGCCTGTCAGGCAGGTTAAAGGTCAGTGGGTCGAACATGGTTTATTAACAGGACGTGAATGGGCCTTGTGCTTCCGCCTTCTCCTCCCCCCCACGATTAAGTAACATTGTTAACACCATTCATTGACCCAGGACATGACTTTCCCAGAGCCAGGAGGGCTTCTAGAGATGAAGCTTGGGTCCCCTTAGCCTAGCTGACACACTAGACAGAGGAGGGATGTGATGAGGTGCTAAGCCACCCGCCAGGCACTTCAGCTTGCCCTGGTGAGTCCCCACACAGTCCCCCCTGGGCCCTGCTGCCAAGAGAAATTATCTCAGTGGGACCCCCACAGTCCCTGCTCAGCTGCCACCTCCTGCTGGCAGCGAGGGCTCAGATCAGCAGCCAGGATTTAATCCACTTAATATGAGCTGTATCGATCCTAGACCCGGCTCAGCTTCGCCCCACCACGCAAACCCCCCAGCCCTGAGCTGCTTAATATCCACCACATTGATTAGCCACACTGCTAATTTTTC